CCTGTACATGGACGTCTTATACGACATCCATTTGTTCTGCCTTGGTTGACAGCATATATGCATGGTGATATATGGCAAAGCCGTGTTTTCCACGCATAAAAAGTTGCTTCGTATTCAGCAAAGGTCTTTGATGAATATTTAATGTTTAAATGTATTTTACATGAAAGTAAGCAAAAAAATAAGGAAAGATTAAGATTTTTTTCTGGTTGCCCAGAGGATATCTCTTAGACTGGCCACACATTTTGTCTCGAAACGTTTAACGGAGCTTTCTTCCGTCCGACGATAGTTAGTCAACCCTGGACAGCTGTTTTGGGCCTTTTGGCAACTCATCAGCATGATCCAAGGTTGATTTTTGGGAGAACGGAGGCATAACAACTACTCTCTATCCAAGGTATGAGGTCTATCGAAATAAGACAGCGCAAAACGCCAGCTATTACCAGCATCGACCACTGTGAGAGTGTATAGCAGCTATCAGTCGGAATGTAAGGATCTCAGTTTGCATTTAATATCTCATTTCCCTCTGTGACCGCTAGAGGCAGACGATTCTGGCGCTATAATATTCATACGATATCTATTCAAAAAATTAGTGGTTGAAAAACACTAACTATATACTACTACTATACAAATTCCAATGTCAAATATTGAATGTTAAAAAATTTGAACTTTTTCGAAATAGTTTTCATCGCCTGTAATCGCGACCATTTTCGAAAATGAGATATTTTGTTTCTTGGATATTATATGACAAGTAAGTAAATCACGAAAAACCATGTCAACATCGGATTGTCTACCGGTCTGTCCGCAAATCTTATAACCACCTATATAATAACTTGAGAAGTGCCGCTCAGATTTCGATGATTTTTTTACACAGTATTATGCCTAGGATGCTAACACTCGTTTTTGAAAATCAGTCCAGTGATAGTAGAGAAAAAGGCCTAAAACGCAAAAAGTAGAAATTGGTCGTTTATGACGTTTCAGAGGATTCTGAACATTTCTGAAAAAAAATTTTAGAGGTAAAAAAACTTGGGGATGGGGATTGTTGGGGACTGGGTATGGTTTATCTAGAGTTTTTGATGTCAGTACACTTACACGCTCCCAGCCTTGGTAATTCTGCGCACCAGTTAGGCATATTTCACATAACATAGTGCTTCCTATGCTCTGACAGCGCTGCCACGTCTTCCAGGTGCACAACCGGTAGGGCAGGGAAACAATGTCTATGGACTAATTGTATATTGTATGGACCTGTTTGACAGACTTTTTATCAGAGGGTCTAGTTTGTGCTGAACATAATCCTTTATGAATTGATAACGGCGTTGCGTGCTAGCACTTATTACCATCCGAAACGATTGACGAATGTTTCTCTCGTCTCCCCAATAAGGATGTCAATATACATTCCGTATAAATATCCAAGTACTTCGCGATCAATCTTTGTGCAAATAGCGATGACGGAAAAGCTTTCGAGTTATACATAAATCAGGCTCAGTTTCTCATTACATTCATTGTCACTCCTCAGAAATACTAAATGCAAGTGGTGTGGTGAGCTATTGCTGCAGGCAGAAATACCAGACAAATATCCTGGGGGTACTAGGTATATTTTGGTTCACATCTTTGGTTGTGCTTACCGACAGTTGTCCTAGCCTATAGTAGATGCGATGAGCCGGAAAGTACTGCAAAATGTACTGATAGATTTAATGTGCCATATCGCCAGCTTGGATCGGAATTGACCTAACCGGGATGATTAGTAGAGTTATTTCAGTACATAACATTGTAGCAGATGTATTATGCTATAAGTAAATATACGCTGGAAGATATAAAAACTATTGAGGTTGTGTGGTTTCAACTTGCGGTTTAAAACGAGGGGCATAACAAAAGGTACCAAAACTGAAAGATACCTCAATGTGCTAGAAATATAATGTATTGAAATGGCAGAATTTCAGTTTGTATATGCAGTCGTATCAGTTCATTTTAGAGCAACGGTCATTGCAGATTTTAGTCGCATAAATAATAACGAATTTATAACATACCGCATTTCGTCGTATTTGATCAATTTTTGTTTAAATGGCATTTCAGTACTATACGATTTGATACATCACGTTACTTTTAGGATCATTCATAATTTAAGACCATCCGTTTCATCAACTGATTCACAAGACTACAGTCTTAAATAGCAGATATGTCTCTCTGTTATCTGAGAAGACGATTAGCGAACATTGATTTAGTGCCATTCGTCATGCCTTGTACTTGTCTGTTTATTTATTATGGTTATTAAGGCTGGTACATTGATAGATTGCTATATTTATAGATTTAGAAATTCTGGTAAGACTATATCCAGCTCCCAGTAAATATTGGGTATGTTTTAGTATTTACCACTGCTTACGGTCAGCAATATTGATACCTATTGAGGCGGCAATGGGCTAATTGCTGTTTTTTTATAAAAATAAAAATATACCCTTTCACTCAAGAATTGTATATTGAATATATGTTTTCTTATATACAACATATGTTATGAAGGGTACAGGGGAAAACAGATGAATGTCACAGCCGTTGTATGAAAAAAGATGAACGTCCACTGATCGTCACAACTAGTAGCTACTACAACAATTCAAGTAGTAATGTTTAAGCAATTAAAATTAATTTCGTTTTCTATTTTCTGTATTATTTTAAATAAAGCTTTTTCTAATTCATTGTTCTTTTGGTGCCCCAATTAAAAAAATTTTTAGAAATAATTTTGTGTTTGTGCTATTCAGGTTAGAAAATCACATTTTCCTCATAATTTCCTGTTAAGGTAGTTCTCATATTAAAGCTGCTACACACAGTGCCGACGGCAATGCCGCCGGGTTTATGCCGAGCGGCTATGCCGCCGGCACAAGCCGCGCAAAGCCGTCAAGCATCATTCCGGTTGTGACAGTCACATAGAAAGCTAGTGAAGTGCTGCATTTCTGGGATTCCATAATATATCATTTTCACGAAATTTTTCAATTAAGAGCAGCTCAGCTTCGTCGTCCCAATTAAAAGACATTTTAATTTGTTTAAACACAAAAACCGCACAACACTACCGCTCGAATGCCAAGAACGAAGTGACGCCGGCAAGCCGCGTAACCCGCCGGCACACCACGGCGGCTCCTTTGCGCGGCAAGGCCGGCGGCTTTGTATGCCGCCGGGTGTACGGCGGCTTAGCCGGCGGCTTGCCCGGCGGCCCTGCCGCCGGCACTGTGTGTAGCAGCCTTTAGAACAGTTACATATGACGACAGGCTCATTTCTAACCTCAATATCTCAAAAAAGTTGAATTTAGGCATGGACGCCATCACATAAAAAATGTTCATAACGAATTTCAAAATACAAAAATGAGAAGGCATTAAAAATGCTTGATCTGCTTTCACCTTTGGGCTACCCGGTGTATCAAAAAATATTTTTATTTATAATTTAGCTTTTTTTCATTTTCTTATAATAAGGAATCTATGGTACTCCGTCAGCTCTTTGACCCACCCTGTACAACGGTCGTAGGTAATCGATGTTGATTGTGTAATAGGCGTATGTAACTGTTAGGGCTTGAGCTTCCAACCGTTTCTTGTGAAATATAGCCTTATCTATTGAATAGTACGCGCTACGTATAGGTATAGATAGGTATGCGATATGTTATATAATATTCGTTATTCATCCCACTGAAATCTGCAACGACCGATGCTCTAAAATGAACTGAACGACTGCATATACGAAACTAGTTATCAAATTCTGCCATTTCAGTACACTGTATTTTTAGCCAATTAGGTAAGGTATGTTCCAGTTTTGATACCTGTTTGTTATGCTCCTCATTTTAAACCGCAAGTTGAAACCACACAACCTCAGTTGTCGGTAGTCGGTAAGTTCCTATGAGCACAAGAATACCAGTCCTGGTGGATGCCCATATACACATTCATCAAAATATGAAAAATATATTTACATTACCTTAATGTGGAATGAATGTATATATATATATATATATGTATATATATGTTTGAATTTTATTGTACGACATTTCGACGACCCCTGCGGGTTTTTTCAAGTACAGATGACATCGTTTCTTTTTTCTTCTCACTTTCTCATACCGGGTATAACTACTACATACTGAGATTGCGTGAAGCCGTCGCTGCAATTTCAAGATGGCACCGCAAAACCAGAACCGCTTGGGTTTAGGAATTCCCGCTTTCAAAATACGTCCAGCTCTCTAAAGCGACAAGCTAGCATGAGGTTTTCTGTCATTTCTGATGCACCAGACACGTCGCCCTCGTCCATCGTTCCAAAGACACTAAAAGTCTTCTGAAAACGCGAAAACCTACCCAGAATTGTCGTAACACACCAGTTAATTGCTATGCAATCTTCACTATAAATGCTGCGTATGCATTGTTTATAGATCTTAAATGCGAGAGATAGTACTTCAACATCTGAAGAGAAATATGTTGTTTATCTTGTGAGGAGATAATATGAGACATAACAGTTTGGCTAAGTATAACATCTGCAGCTTTGAGATCCCTTAAGAAAGAACCTGGAAGTAAATGACTTCAGATCCATTAGTTAGGTTGGATTAGATACTTCCTTCAAAGATACTCAACCAAATTGGGCCACTGCGTAATTGTGCACAATGTTGACATGTGACTGGTGCATTAAAAAGCGACAGAGAGACTTTGGCGGGCTGGACGTCCTTTTAGAAGCAGGGATGTCTACCACAACCAGTCCTGGGCTTTGCTGGTTTTACGGGGTGTCATCTTAAAATTGCAATAAAAGCTTCGCGTAATCTTAATATGTTACCAGTATGTTCAGGCTGTTTATAGTAGCACACTATATACCGGGTGCGCCATCTTTTATGTCGGTATTGAGACATCGAATGACTTTGATATTTACCAACCGAATGATTTGGTTATACGTGTTTCTGAAACGTCAATTTACTACAATTTTAGTCATGAATCGCTTTACACCTAAACAACTCGCCGAAATAGTCACAATGTACATTGAAAATCGTCGTTCAGTTGTGTTGACGCAACGTGCCTATCGTCGAAAATATCGTGGCAAACAGGCACCGTCTGACAACACTATCCGTCGTTTGGTTCCGAATTTTCTTGAGTACGGGACAGTAGGAGATCGTCAACATACCGTTCATCAACGACCAAGACGTTCCAATGAATTGGTGGAAGCGGTCAGAGACAGCGTTTCCCAGAACCCTAAAAGTGTCGTATCGTCAGCGCACTCAATCAGAATGTTGGCATCAGTGAAACCACGTTGCGGCGCAGTTTGAAGGATGATTTACATTTGTTTCCTTATAAGGCGCAGTTAACAAAAAATATTGCTAACTGACCGTCCACGTCGCTTGGAATACGCCCAAACAGTCGCTCGCATGGTTGATGCTGAACATGATTTTTGTAAGCAAATTGTGATGACCGACGAGGCCCATTTCACGCGCTCTGGCGGCGTTAATAAGCAAAACTGCCGCATTTGGGGGACGAAAAATCCACATGAGATCCACGAAATGCCGTTGCATGACCGGAAAGTGACTGTTTCTGCTGGCGTTTGCGCCAAAACCATCATTGGGCCATTTTTCTTCAACGAAAACGAAACAGTCGATGGAAATCGATATAGGTGGATGTTGGCTCATTATGTCTGCCCACAAATGCGTGAAAAAAATCTTGATGGTGATGGATGAACAAGACGGTGCGACATGCCGCTCTGCAAATGAAACAATCCAGTTTCTGCAACGAAAATTCCCTGGGATTCCGATGTCAAAAAGAGGTTCCGTTGACTGGCCACCCAGGTCTCCAGATTTGACCCCACCAGACTTCTTGTGGGGTTATTTGAAAAGTCAAGTGTACTCCAGCAAGCCCCAGACCACTGAAGAACTCAAGGTCATGGTCGAAATGTCGTACAATAAGTAGAAATTTAAACAGATATGTGGTTTTATTCAGCCAGACAATGGGGTCTCATAACCATCGGAAATTAATGTTTTTCCATCGACCCCCAATTCTGACTGTAGTTTCATGTTCAGAAGCAAAACATACGTGGGAAAAGCACAGTGGGGGCCCCACTTTTTTGTGGACCTGCGTTATCATTCCTTCAATACAAAATACACAATTGGCGTCAACTCATTCCAGCAAAGCTTTTCTAGTACTCGTAAGACGTCATGAATTTATCCAGAACTACATTAGACTAGAAAAATATTCAATTACGCTGTTGTAGCTCGTAAACATAGAGTAATTGCATACGCTATCTGTATCTACAGTAACATTTCACCGATATTTACCGCCCATATTTCACTCTGAATAATTATTGTTATTTAACAGACTACAATATCGGTTTCAACTGGCATAATAACTGTTTTATCAGTCCTCAATGGCACACTTGGAAACATATTGTACTTGTTGAAGTTTCGCAATAGAAATCCAATAAAAACGTGTTTTGTTTTATCGATAATTTGTTTCATTTCCTCAAAGTTCTAGTGGGAATAGACCAGCCAGATCGAAGTACAAATGTTATGCAGCAAAGATCCCATAAAACTGTCTTAGCTCTTTTCTATGTTGGTTAAGGTTAGTAGATTCAGTAAACTTCTTTCCTTATAGACTCTCCAATTTATTGACCCTCCAGAATAAAGGAGAAATAGTACCAGTTTTTTCATTTTTAGAGTCAAAATACACACTGATCAGAGGCTTGGAGGCTATCACTGCCTGGGGACACAATAATCTGATACAGTTTAATGCTTCCACCGAGCTGTACCTTGACTTAAAAGCGCATTAGTGCTAATCCGGTTTTGATGGATGGCCGAGTGTTACCAAAGAGCCGTCTATTTCGGCTAGCCGGAGTCTATATTACCGAGACTTGATCTGATATGAACACATATCGTCAAAAGCGGCAGCGGCAGAGAAAAGCTAAGCGGTTAGTTTAGGGCTAACTGGTACTTTTCTCCACATAAAGCCCTCACTGTATAAGGCCTAGCCTTGAGCACTGCTAACATACTTGGGGTGCGTCTGCCCCGACTGCAGGGCTGTCTGACTGATCGATGACTCTTCTCTAGCGGACAGTCTCGGGACTCTTTCGCTGTTAGCAAGCTGACTCTCTTCTACATCTACTCGTATGTTAAGGGACGTCAGAGCTCTCCTCCATAATGTCGCCGAGCGATGAGCCAGCCAGCCAGACCCGCCTGACTTCGTCTTCCCATGCTAATCGTGTGAAACTTCGTACATCCAGAACTGGCAGATACGACCGTTCCCTTGTCCTTGGGTGTGACTATATGGCTTTTGGTCTAGCGGTATCATTGAATCATGTTTCTTCGCAAATGAGTCGATGCCGATTAAGTAAAAGAAAGATAAGTAGTCTTACGGAAACTGAGATGAAAAACAAAGTAAAATCATGGGCAATAAAGGAACAAGAACAAAGAATATAAGGATTGCTAACCCAGCAACGTACGTTTTTCTCATAAATGTGCTTGCTGGCTCTTTTTGGTGGCTTCCAATTGTGTTTCCCTTTCCATCATTGTTTTCCTTCAGATTACACCCGTATCCAGATGTGATGGACATATGTTTTCACTGTGGTGTTTTCGGTCCACATCCGTCTGGGCCTGATGAAGTCAATAAAATGAAACGTACGTCGCTCGGCAGGGATATTACGTATACTGAAAAGTGGCATTATGTCGTTTTTTGACATTATATAGGTTTATCTACAAGATATCACCTTACCACTATCTGTTGTACACTTGCTGTCGTGATTCTTTTTCAGCTATCGAAGTTTGGCTCTTATGTGATGTAAGACCTGCTTTAGAGATGGCATCATTGGGGATCTAAGCTGTAAGTTGTATACAATAGCTGGAAGGACACGGCAGTGTATAGGTGCATAGTGTGAATTTGTCTGCCAGTAATCTGTGTTGATGATAATTCCATTGGTTTCTGCACTCACTTGAGATGTATGCAACAACAACACCAACAAAGATTCTGGTCCGGACTTGATTCTTGCCATCGTACTGAAGAGGTGTGCAGCGGAGCAGATATCTTATGAATGCATCACCTTCCCAGAAAACTGGAAATTTGCTCATATCCAACCCATCTCAAAAAAAGGATCTAAGACCGATCTAATAACTACAGGCCTATAGCTCTGCTTTCTGTTATAAGTAAGGTGATTGAGAGGTACATAAATCGCTAGTTTCTGAACTACCTCGAACTTCACAGCTTAACTAGCGACAGGCAGTATGGTTTCCGGCACCAACGATCCACAGGGGACCTCCTAGCCTACGTCACGCAATTGTGAAGTAAACTCATCCAGTCTTATCGTGAAGCTCATGTCGTTGCCCTTGACATCACGGAAGCGTTCGGTCAGCTGTGGCACGCAGCCCTCTTAAGCTCCATCCTATAGCCTCCCAGAAAAGCTTTGCAGATGAGTGGCAGACTTTATCTCTGGCCGCAAGATATCCGTCGTAATTGCCAGGTTCTCCTCTTCATTCCACAACGTCAACGCGGGTGTTCCCCAGGAATCGGTCTTGCCCCCGACACTGTTTCTCTTACATATCAACGACCTTCTTTCCTGCATGATCAACCCAATCCACAGCTTCGCTGATGACAGCACTCTACATGCAGGAATTCAGAGTGACAAGCCGATCTCTGCCGCTGAGCTGAAAAAAAGAAGCCTAGCGACGATCTCCTCTCTGTCAAGAGACTTGGAGGCTATCACTGCTTGGAGACGCAACAGTCTTATACAGCTTAAGACTTCCAAAACACAGTGTTGTACTTTGACGAACAAAAAGAGCCCTAGCGCTCATCCGGTTTCGATGGATGGCCGAGCTCTGCGAAAGAGCCATTCATTTCGGCTGGTCGGGGTCCAAATCACCGAGGAACTGATCTGGCATGAACACATCTCTTCAATAGCGGCAGCTGCTGGGAAAAAGCTAGGCTATTTGTTTAAGGCTAATAAGTACTTTTCTCCGCATGACCTTCTCACTCTATACATAAGGCCTAGCCTCGGGTATTTCTAACACATTTGGGGTGCTGCCGCCCCCACTACACTATTTATGCTCGCTGTCCAGAGGAAGGCAACTGGTCGATGACTCTTCTCTAACAGACAGTCTCGAGGCTGTCGCACCGGCGGCAGTCGGCGACCTAGCTCTTTTCTACCGCTACACCAACGGGCTTTGCTCCTCAGAGCTCTCTTCCATGATGCCGCAGCGCGATGTGCCTGCCAGACAGACCCGGCTGTCTTTGGCATTCCATCCTAACCGCTCCATTCTCCCGAGGGTGTCGAGATTGTGGAACAATCTACAAGAGGAAGCTTTTCCCAGTTCTACTAACCTTAGGCAGTTCAAAAATCGGATTAAGGAAATTACATATGCAAATATGCCGAATTTCAAAAAGAGCGCGATAAAGAAAGAAAATCCCTGGTTGGTGAAGTATATTAGAACTAACAGGTGAGAAAATATAGTGATTCAGGAATATTTCTAAAACAATAAAAAGTTATTACATTTCACATTAATTTTTATTTCTAGTCATTCGTCCATAGATCGACGCTCATAGCGAGCAAACGCGGAATGAACTATTTGCACATTAGAAACTATTTAGGCAGTAAGTTGAAATTGTGACTGTTTTTTTTTTAATGTTTTCTACGTAATAGCCCGCAGGCTACCAATCCTTCTATTTCTGCTCCTGTTCCTCTATTGCGGACATGCTCACAACTGTCCTTTGTGTTTCAGTCAATGAAAAACGTTGCCGCCTTATGTTCAACTAATTTTCATTTACAAAATATGAAGACAATGACAAGAACGACATTTGATTACAACAAGACGGCACAACTTGATATATAGTTAATGCAACTAAGAAATTTTTGGGCACCGATTGTGAAAACCAAATACTTAATCAGTAGACATTCAGATGTCAATTGGTCGTTTGGAATTTAAACCCCTTCTACTATTGCCTATCGGGAGGTGTTAAAATAAATGTTATGCTAACCAGTCAGATCTTAAAACATGAAATCGGAGTTCCCATTCCTAAATAATCAAATAAGGAATACTGGAAAATTGGGTTAATCGGATGAACTACTGTCGGGCCAGTCGTGGATATCGTTTTAATGATAATAATGGGTGCTGTCCTAAAGCGATCCAGCGCTTTTGTGCTAAAGATCAGAAGC